ACTTTTAATTGTTTTAATTAAAGAAAGACAGGTAGGTGCTTACCCTAAGGAACACACAGAAGAATGGTAGCATTTTGTTTACCAGAATGAAAAATGAGTGTGCATAAGGGCTTTTTCATAGGATTGTTTATAAAGCAGAGAATTCATAAGCCCTCAGAGAACCAGTAAATGAATGCTCAAAGTGCTTAGGCAGTGCAGCTGAAGAAATATTGTTAAAGGTAAAAAAAAAAAAAAAAAAAATCCATGGAAAAATGGTACCATATTTATCTGAATGAAAGATGGCCCTGATTATAGGATAACCAGTAATTAGATTCTATATATAGAACAATTATGAATTTGTTATAATTTTCCAGGTATAGAATCTAATTATTGGAAGCTTACTTTGAATTTAGCCCCCTCCCACTGCTACAATCTCATGGTTAGAGACCCCCCCCTTGCACTCTGCTTCCTCTTAGCATTTTCCCCTGGTAGCCCCTTTCCCCTCTCCTTAATGTCAGACCCTGCTCTCCCTGAGCACCTGGAAGTGAGGAGCAAATTTGAAAAAAGCAAACAAAATAAACCCCTTGAAATTAAACATGGCTATAACAATTAGCATATAGTTCCCATACACTTACTTCAGAATTGATGTATGTTACCTTTTTTTTGAAGTAGAAGGGGCTGTGGCAAGTGGCTGGGCTTTCATGGGCCTGGGGCTGTACTCTGAACATATGCAGACATTTGGTAGGCCTCTGAGTTTGGGCATGCCATTTTTAGGCTTTTACACCCTGTGAATGTGACTCCGTTGCAAGGTTGAAGATGATGGTGCTGAGTGTGCAGCCTTGCTTCACTCCAGGCTGGATGGGGATGACATACATCTTGCCGTCTGGCAACCAAATGATTGTGGTAGTATAGCCATTGTAGGGCTCCCACATGAGGTCGATGGTACTGACCAGCATGCCAAGCTCTTATAGGGTGTTGAAGATGTGGCATCTCAATCTATTCCCACATATAGAGTGGGATTGAGCTTTCAGCACAATCTTAAGAGTGGAAGAAAATATTTTATGAAGGTGTGACTGTTACCTGACACAGGTTAGGAAGCTTACTTTGAGCCACTTAAATCCAAGTTGAGTTCTTCTATGTGCAGACATTCATGTGGACAGCTGGAAGTAAGTCAGTTGGAGATAGGCACTGACAGATCCATGGCAGAGTTGGGGCCTGTCCATTCTGGAGGGGGAGCATAGATTCATAGATGTTGGCGTCAGAAGGGACCTCAATAGATCATCTAGTCTGACCCCCTGCATAGGCAGGAAAGAGTGCTGGGTTCAGATGACCCCAGCCAGATACATATCTAACCTCCTCTTGAAGACCCCTAAGGTAGGGGAGAGCACCACCTCCCTTGGGAGCCCATTCCAGATTTTGGCCACATTTACTATGAAGAAGTTCCTCCTAATGTCCAGTCTAAATCTGCTCTCTGCTAGCTTATGGCCATTATTTCTTGTAACTCCCAGGCGGACCTTGGTGAGTTCAGCGTCACCAATTCCCTTCTCTGCCCCCATGATGAATTTATAGGCAGCCACAAGGTCGCCTCTCAACCTTCTCTTGCAGAGGCTGAAGGAGTCCAGGTTCCCTAGTCTCTCCTCATAGGGCTTGGCCTGCAAGCCCTTAACCATATGAGTGGCCCTTCTCTGGACCCTCTCCAGGTTATCCACATCCCTCTTGAAGTGTGCTGCCCAAAACTGGATGCAGTATTCCAACCAGTGCCCGAGCAGTTGAGGGCGGGTGTTAAAATCATAGAATCATAGAATCAGAAGTAGGGTCGGAAGGGACCTTATAGATCTTCAAGCCCGACCCCCCGCCTGGGCAGGAGAAAAAACTGGACTCAAATGAGTCCAGCCAGGTAGTCATCAAGCCTC